AGCAACTTTAGCATTGTCTTTAATTTTGTTGCCTGTGAAGAGAAAGACTATTATCGACTTTTTAAGGATCTGACAAATGTTCAAGAACTTTGCAAGTTCTGTACGAGCCACCTTCGCCGGCAGTAGTATTCCAGTGGCGACTGTGGCGATGGGTTAGTTAGGGGTACGGTGCAAACAGGATTAGCGCGAAGAAAAAGCAAGTGGAAAGGTAAATGTGAGGGGTTTGGAGACAGGGGGTGATTCTTCGTTTATATATTCTTTTAATTTTTTTTTTTTTCACTCGCAGGTTACTACTTCATAGTTGCCACAGACATCACTTTTCAAAATTTCCTGCCTTTTCCCTGAACAAATAGACTCAAAATGTCAAATATAGTGGCGGCTCCTAACCTGACGTTCCCCCTTCCTCAAAGTATTTTCATCCCCCCCCCCTTTCCTCTCCCTGACCATTTCCTGACCTCTGACAACCGTGTATTTTCCAACTAACCGAAGGCCTGGAACAGGTTTACGATTACAACCTCGAGAGAAAACCTTTTAACATCATCATTGGCCTTTTCCGCCTCGGACCACGTGACCCGAAAACAATTGACCGAGGCGAAATATCGAGGCCTAGTAACTAGGCAACATCGCAGGCGCGGTAGCTTGACATAAGACCACTGGCGAGCTCAATTGGAAAGCAAGAAAGCTTTTTCCCAAGCTAGACCGAGTAAGATAAGAGACAGGAGTAACTTTTAAATTCAAAATTCTATCCAAGTGGAGTTTGTAACACGGATGTCTCTAGTGAAGTTACTTTGATATTATTAATTAAACACAGCGAATTGTAAAAATTCCTAAATCTCAAAGCTTTGTTATCTTCGTCGTATTTCTTTTGGTTTCTTCTTGTTCTTGAAAGGGTCCTCCATCTGAGCTTGCAGTTGGTCAGCAGACACACCTTGTAGGAGTTGAGGTACTTGTTGAAGAAATGGAATAACCTGAAATGGAACGAAACCACTCAGTTGGACATGAACTCACCCTAAAAACGCCATAGACCCAATTTGTACATTCAAAGTTTAACAATACCTTGTTGTGGTTCACAGCTAAGAGAATTAGAAGAACCAACAGAGGTAAGGTAAGGAACGAGCCTTGACTTGGTTCTGGTTCAGCTTTACGTGGCTGAGGAAATAACAACAAGAGATTCTCTTTCAGTTCATTATGTAAGAGACCACATGTGCGAAGTTCTAAGATTGAAGGGATAAGTGTGATGATGAATGATGCAAGACTGAGGAAGATGGCGAGCTCGAAAGTTACCTGAAATCTGAACCCTTTTCAGATGAATGCAGTGGTTAACATGTAAATTAGTTATATTGTAAGGAGAGCAGAGGAGAGGCGAGGCAAGACGAAGGAGGGGAGGGGATGGTAGGAGAGGGGAGAGGAGGAGTGGGGAGGGGAGGGGGAGATAAGGGGGGAGCGGAGGGGGGAGATAAGGGGGGAGGGGAGGAGTCTGCAAAATAGAGAGCTCACCTGTGGTTCAAATTTAAACGTGACATGAGCCCGCACTCCAGTGGCAGTGACAGTAGATTCAGGTCGAATGTAATTATAATTCAAGGTAGAGAGAGAAGAGTCCAAACGAACAATGTACACGAGTCCGTCATTTGGCACGGAAGGAAACTGGAAGTAACTGGCGACGCTGACGGGCGTGGTAAACACCGGCGTGTCGGGATTGTTTTCTGGCGACAGCGTAACCTAATGAGAAGAAAAAAAAAATTCAACATTGCATTAATTCCTTTACTCTCTAGTCTCCTTTTGACGTCGTGTAGACACGCTACTGAGTAGTCACGCTGTTGGATAGTCACGCTGTTGGGTAGCTACGCTGTTGAGTAGTCACGCTGTTGGGTAGTCACGCTGTTGAGTAGCCACGCTACTGAGAATTCACGCTGTTGGGTAGTCACCCTATTGAGAAGTCACGCTGTTGGGAGTCACGCTACTGAGAAGTGATGCTCCTCAGCAACGTTTCGTGACCACCAAATGGCGGCTTCAAAGGAGACTATTCATTTCCAAGCGAAATTCTTTTTCTCTTTAGCGGAAGTTTAGCAACTCTCGCAAGCTTGCGACTCGATTTGTCATCATAGCGTAGCAGCTGTTAGAGGCTAGAGGCATTGTTTCTGTTGAATGCTCTACAGTTATCAGTATCGAGCAATTCATCGACATCGTGAGAGGTACTAAAGGTAAAGTCTGCATACGAGCCAAGTGGCTCATCAGGCCGGAGCTTATTCCGCCTTCTGTAGCATGAAGCGACTAGGAGTATTTCTACTCCCCCCTGGTTGGGATGCTAGTCCATCGCAGGGTTACCCCCAGCTTTACGTTCGCCGGTACCCATTTATACACCTGGGCAGAGAGAGGTACTGTGAGAGTAAAGTGTCTTTCCCAAGAACACAAC